TGATTTCTCAGTAGCTAAAAATAGGGTAACTCTCCGACAGTTATACCTTTTTCTACATCACATCGGCTACAAGTGTCGAGCTGCACATTAGTCCTGAGGGATGTATTAGTACCACATTAATCTTGGGCGTTCATATTAAATTCGAGTGGATCCGTCCACAGGCCCTGTGGCACAGGGTTTTTCATCTGCCTGTGGTTTTAGTTGATCCCTGTCCTCTTAATGCGCATCGCACTTGTCATTGCGGCGGCCGTGGCTTACATGCTGCAGGGTGCAGGCTGTAACAATTGTGAAGATCGCACCCAATGCACTAACTGTCCGTATAACTGCTATTACCGCATTGGATCTGGGTGCTTCTGCGGATGATGTCTATCTGAGATATGTGACCCTTAAATTTCGGCTCATCTGTTGGGTATAAGGAACTCATAATGCTTAACTTTGCATCATTAATCTTACTTGCGATCTTTAGGCCCTTGTTGCCCTTACACTTCTCATGAGCTCTTTGCGCTCTGTTGAACTCCGGATGGGACTCAACTCGGGTTACCCGAGTCGGGTACTGATGATCGTCACACAGTATGTGTGTGTGTGTGTGATAATTCTTCAAGGCTTGGCGACTCCGCTCTGTTTGTCATTCATCAGACGAGCATTTCTGTTTAATCCGGTCTATTTCTCTCCTTGTTATAGTATTGTCAGACTTTTTCGGAAATAGCAAGGAACGCATGAGAGTACAAGCTATGTCTGTGACCCGTCCGATGTTCGATTCTGATCTGTGAGGTATATTGGGTCCGTATTTCTGGAGCTCGATGCATTCAGTCGTATCTTACGTACTCCAGGGGTATTTATTGGGATCATATTCTCTGGTGTATTGAATAGACTCCACTCCGTCACTATACTCGATATGGATACGAGTTCTAGTAGAGAAAGTGATGTTGGGTTGCACAAGAGTCTTCCGTCAATAGCTTCGAATAAGGAATGTGAGGATGGCGAAACTGTGCCTCTACAGTGTGGAAGATACGCGTCGGTGATACAGGAACAGTAAGAGTGTCCACTCCCTGTAAGAGTGATAACACAGAATAGAGCTCAACACTTACGCCAGTTTAGATAACCAGGATAACTCACGTCGCCATGTATTTTCTTCCCTCTTAATAGAGTAAAGTTCGCCCTTGATTAAAGTTCAGTCTTTGTAAAATTGACCCGTTGATGAAATAACAATGTTGACAAAACCCGACTGTTGGGATCACACTGGTAACATTCACAACGGACAGTTGATTTTGGCACCCTTACCTGTTGGAAGGTCGCACTGTCCGTTGGTTCTGTCCCAACCAAGTCGTTGCAAATGTACCCTGTCGGTTTTGTTATACTTGTTTCTCTTATACGCGAGAACGTTGGCGAAGCTGATAGTTAGTTGGTTATTGTGCTATGTTCTGATTTGAGCCTGTTGTTTCTAGTAACTCGTCCACTTTACAGCATTCGCGACCATATCGCCCTGCTTCTCAATAGTTCGGGAAGCATCTACTTCCAGTATGATAAGCACTTTAATTTGCGCTCACCTCGACGCTCAACACTCGAGGCTCGAGTTGGAGACTGTTCCTGTATCACCGACGCGAATCTTCTACACTGTAGCGGCACAGTTTCGCCATCCTCAGATTCCTTATTCGAAGCTATCGACGAAGGACTCTTGTGCAACCCAACATCGCTTTCTCTACTAGGACTCGTATACATATCGGGTATAGTGACGGAATGGAGTCTATTCAATACACCAAAGATTATAATCTAAATAAATACCCCTGGAGTACGTAAGATACGACTGAATGTATCGAGCTCCGAAAATACGGACCCAATATATCTCACAGATCAGAATCGTATATACGTGCATCGTAACTTCATCCAGTTTCCACTCGAAAACATATTGCGGAAATTCCTTGGTGAGAAATTTCCTAAGCTCTCCCGAGTAGGTGCTTGTACTCAGCTCAGAAAACTCCCTTTGGCTCGTTGAAGTAGCCTTTTGCGACATCTTAGTAATATTGTGAGCCACACAATGCACCTTGTTGCATGAACAACCCGCTGAGCATAGAATTTCACGTTCCTCATGGAAGTGGGTTTTGGTGTTGTAGAAATCAAGACGCACTAGAGTACCCTCTGGTGTTTCTCTTCAACTCACGTCTGCCACACGGAATGCTGCCACCTGTTTAAACCGGAGCATCAAAGTACTGCCCAATAAAGCTGCTGATCTGATCTGATCTTCTAAGCTCGCGAATTGCAGAGGCATATGAGCTAACGCTTTCAGACACTTGTTCGGGAGCACTACCGCTCTCTTTATTGGACGTTTAAGAGAGCTCAGTGCATTATCCGCACTTCGCAAAGCCCTATCTAAGATTTGGCTCCTAAGACTTCTCTCTCTTTTCAATTGGAATGCTGATCCGAGCCGGGCCGAAATCATTCTTAATGTCTAACCCAAAACCGAGAGTACGAATATTCCGGGAGAGATAAAATACATTTTATTGCAATGACCAATAGTAAGAGCATACATAACTGCAGTATGTAAAATAAGTATCAGGTGCCGTCATCCAGATAAATGATACCTTGGGGTCTGTCCCCGTTGGCTCTCCTCGCCAGAACCGCTAAGAGGCGTCGTTGAATCCGATGCATAGCTGCACTACATCTAGTAAACTGAAGAGGGCTAGATGCCAATCCGAAAGGGAGGCAGTTCTCCCAAATGATGGGTGTCTCTAATGAGCCGTTGGCAACGCTAGTCGGAGACACAAGAGCTAAAAGGCCTTGCTCTTCTTCTCTCACCGAGCCAAACGCACTTTTTATATCGAAACCACCCAGTCTTCTCGCTTATTGGCTCTCAGCTTGCTTCACGAAGTACCTGGGGCCTTGAAAAGTTGGCAATGCCAGCGTCGTGGACATTTCACTAGATCTATTGATGCCACTGCACCGGTAGTTGCTTATGAGACGGCCACCTTGTTCCGTACCATCTTCATAAATCGCCCCGATCTTACTTACTGCCTTCATTCCCTTAGAACGGGCAGCCCGCTCCGACAGGGTCTCGAATCTCCCGGCTCGGTCGGTAGCAAGAGTGCTAAGGCCATCATTCGCTAGCTTTATCGAGGCTGATAGACAGGGATCGTCAGCTGGCCACCGTATATACTTTGGTTCACCCGGTTTAGGTGGTTTGCGGAATACTCTCTTCCGCAGTGATGCGGGACAGCACCTCCAAGAGCCTACCCCTAACCTTCAAAACTGAAGAAGCCGGTTCCATGAAGGTAGCAGTATTCCCAAAGCCGTGGCTCTCTAGTATGTTGCAGATTTCAACTGCTAACTCGTTATCCGCTCAGACAATACCTAAGTTGACCCATCCAACGGCCATGGAAGATTGTAGCTCTCTCGATGAAAATTCGAAGGTCGATAGAAACTCCTCAACCTGGGGTTGATTAAACCATTCTGTCGCTTTATCCCGAGGAGCATCAGCAATCTCGTTAACGACGGCCTCGAATCAGGTCGAAATGAGGATAATAGAATCCCACTGACATGTGGCGGGCAATCCTGACCCATCTTGCATCGGAGTTGCAGGTCACTCTTTTGCTAAGACTGATGCAGCCAATGTTTCCCAAAAATTGCCGTCAGTTGCAAGAAGACTGGAAACTTGGTCCAACGATAAAGACCTCGAGTTGTCCGGGCCCCGGGGGACTCCTGGAGAGGAAGCAGCGCTCCTCGTGTCGACATAATTCTTCTCGGTAGCAGTGGTAGCACTATGAGCATAACGAGCGGCTTTGTAGCGTCGCCTTCGACATTTGCGAGCCTCCTGGGAGCGGCAACCTTCATGGGCGGTCAAATAGCCGACTCCAACAAGGAGAAAATAAGCTGACAGGTTACAAATCGATCCTGAAATCATGCCCCAAACACCTCACTGTCCAGCGCAACCAGAACAAAATTCACAGAAACAGACTCGCGGGGGCTTCATCAAAAAAAATAATTGAGGAGCAACAATTCACAGTTGAACCTCATCATCTACCTTTGGGATAAGATAATCACACGTTGAAGACATATACTCATAATCAGGTCGTCTTCCTCTTCTTATTCTCATCAGCCACATCACTCTTATGCTATGAGGGACCAAATGGGCATTTACGGATCTTCAGCAACTGGCACTGACTCCGACTGTAAGGACAGGACCCTGTAGATGAGTAATCCGATCTTGAAGGCTTGTTAGGGTCAGAACGACCCTGACGTCTACCTCTTCCTTCACCCGGAAGGCGACGATCAGAGTTGGAGTCCCCAAGTCTACCCATAGAGATGGAGCTATAGGCCTGAACTAGCAGTTCGCTGTTAGTCCCCTTCAATAAGGTCTTCGCTACTACCTCACCATAGCTGATACCCTTATTTTCTGCCAAACGATAGGCCAATGAGGACAAGCCTTGGCGGAAACCTTCATCATAGTTGATACTACGTAGCGCCAACACTGTGGAATGTCGCTATGCGAGCGAGGTGATAATGTATTCAGCCAGAATATTGCCCACCGAAACCGAAAAATTCACTTCCACCATTGCCGCCCACGTTACGAGACATAGTAGAAGTTCGGGGAAGGAACGTGGCTTCTTACCCGAAGAGCTCGTTGGAGGAATGATCACTATCTTCCACTATCTTCCCCTCGCTGTCAATCGTGGGTACCTTGTCGGACGACGCCGCTGATGGCACACTGTTGACGAGGGCGACCTGTGGAACACAACACCCTGGATATAGGGTTGAGTTAACTTAGTATATACAGATCAATGGAATAGCCGTACGCTACGGGCTGAGCTATGGGGACAGCTGTATCACAATATGCTCCACAGGCCTTAGACTTCCTGTAAGCAGCAACATCATTATGCGCAATCTTCAGCACACCACCATCCGGTAAGAGCGATGCCGATGGCATACCACCATATCTTGCAGGCAAACGAGCAGAATAGTCTTCCAGCGAGGCTTCCTGCGAGCTGGATGTACTCTTGAGAGAATACTTCGCACAAGCCTCCTTGATTAGAGATCTCATTTTCATTGCCTTCACAAGCTGATGGAATTCACTGCCTTCACAGCTTGATCGCTCAGCATCATCAGTCGCCTCAGCCGCCGCAGGGAACAGTAGTTGACCAAAGATGTCAATAGTGGATCGCCTGACGCAAGACCAACAAGACCTCTCTTATTGATGATCTCCATAGCAATAAGTCTGTCCACCACAGCGTCCAGAAGAACCTCTGGGTAGTCAGAAGGCAGAAGCTGTTTAACTTCGTGACGAAGTCCTCGTCACGAGTGGCATTGTTCATATTAGATTGGGAGAGGGAAAAGGAACAACTGAGCTTCCCATAGATCTCAAGACTCCTCATGGGACGATCTAGTCCTCTAATGTGTTCAAACCTCAACGAGATTCAGCTATTAGCCATGAGGCTAGCATTCTAATTGTGAGGCGACACCAAATACTCAAACACTGTGTCAACAGACATGCTTCGTCGCACAAAGTTTGTGCCACAAACCGATCCACTCTCGGATGGATCAGGAAGAATCCTCCTATTGAGGATGCCGGCAAACAACGTAGGACTCTCAAAAGGCCTATCAGCACCACTGAGTGTCGCTCAGTGACCCTAATCAAGACAAGACACTAATCATATAAACTCTGGGCTCACACCTATCTACAGGGTCTCTGCTCTAAGACGCGACCCCTAAGGTACCCACTCTGTAATCCCCATGAATTACCCATTACTAACATCTAGACTCAGACCTATTCTCGGAGTCTCCGTTCAAAGACGTGCCCCCTAAAGTCGCCAGGCAGAAACAGCTTCTCGGACCCGGCTTCACGAGCCACTGACACCGAGCGTTAGACACCCTTTGACGGCACTGAAGAGAGTAATAGGGCTAGAATGGAACTGCAAACAAGGAAAAGAAACGAGACAAGCTAAACGCGGAGGAGCCTCACAACATACAGTTCGAACGATAATGACTAACGGAATGAGTTAACGAATGTAGTGCCTGTGAAATCCCAGGAAGGGGGTATCACCACGCGCACGCCCATACAAACGCAACGCACTCTAAAGATTGGGACACAATTGTGTAACGCTGAAGCATCTTAGCGATCACTAGAGTAAAGTTGTAGTTCGCAATAGTAGTACGGCTCTTAGCTGAGCTACTTGCGAACATGACCGTGGGACCCACGGCGTGGGTATCGGTCTACAAGGGAATTCTGAAATTTTAACCCACCCACTACCAACCCTGAGTACGGCGATGTCAATCGCCAGTGACATATGGATTGTATACTACCAGAACACCTGTAGTACTGTACTACTAGTACAGGCTTTTCACTTGATGACCATAAATGTCCCGATCGGACGGTTAGATAGGCTGTCCTACATGATGTCGATCGTTCTAACCCATTTTATTTGACATCATGTGTCGCCGACGCTTAGGCGGCGAAGGGCTCCACATTCACAAACTATGGTCACACAAGTGAGTATTATCTGCTAGTTTGACCATCCAAGACCTACAGCGGTCTAAAACTCACTAGCGCTATGACATGGAAAACCGAAACTAACTCGCCACAGAGTCACAAGGCTCGTGTTCGGGTTTCGTGTTTCAATTTCCTCCCGCATACCCGTATTCGTGAGATTTTACATCAGAATACACCAACATATTTCTCATTTCGTGCACTTGCTTGAACTTGCTTTCCTATGAAACCTTCACATACAAGCGCTCAGTTATCTTTTGTTGCTTCACCCTAGATTCTAATAACAGAATATTCATCTTCTTAAACTGAGACCAACCTACAATCTCGCTCCCTCGAGCATAATGCGTAGAGATAAAATCTCGAAATATTGGTGATACAAATTTGGTATCAATCTTTTCACCCACTTTTCTTCTAGAATACATAAAGAAGTTCCAGACATATGATACAACAATATAGATGTTAGCGAAGCAGACTACCGATAGTGAAAAGCAACCGTACGAAGGTACTACACACTTTCAACGACCAATCAACATTCAAATGGTAAGAACTCTTCTTTATGGATAACGGTGTACGAGGCCTACTACCATGATAAGTCAGTAAATGCACATACCGGAAGGAATATGCTTCTTTCGTTTTCATCTTGGTTCTTCACGTAACTTAATGACATCTACTGAATCAATAGCAGTAGACAATAAAGACAATGCTGTATCTTCCTCGCTACAACATAATTCGGCAGATAGCAGTTCTAATAACACATGAAATGGCAACTGCTTAGTACGATAGAACTCTCCCAAATGACGGACAATATCAGAACAATATTCTTTGAGCGAAGCGTGACATTGTGATTGATGAACAGACACAGAGCCCCAGTTATTTCCTTTTGATAAATTGAAACAACTGATGCCGCCATTACTCTGCGCTTCACGATATAACTGCCACGAGCTATTCAGTCATCAGGATTCACCCAGTTTTATCGTTCGGAACGACATAACTGCAGGTGAAATATGACTTACTTGGAGAGGTAAGCTTCCTGTGACGGGATTATACGGAACGTGAAATACTTGCTTTGCAGAGGGACGGAAATGATCATCACACGTGACAATACATAAGAAACGTTGTTTATTCACTCCACGCCGCGACACTTCAAAAATGACGCTCGGTCCGCGGGAATAACTTCAAAATTATAT